TACTGGTTCTGAGACAGATGAACAACAAATACTTTCTCAGTCTGATCATCAAGTAAGTACTAGAGGGGAATCAGAGTGGCGGTTAAAAACCTCCAACATGTATGTTTAGCCAGGAAAGGGACATTGTATACCACACCTGTTAGCGCGTTAATATGTCTAGGACAGAAAGCCTATAATGCCGATACTAAAGATACTACTTGGTGGTCAGCTTCAAATATCTCAGAGCCTACTAATCCGTTTACCAATTACACCCATTTAAAAGCGGTATGCTTCTCATATGTCTGACAGTGTTTATCTGTGTTACAAATTAATGGGCTTTTGCACGAGCCATGTTGGGAATGGTATAGTGCCACTCTTGTCAAGCTGAAAAAATAAATAAATAAAAAAATAAATAAAAGAGGTATGGTTTGACTTATCTGCTACATCCAATTGGAAAGCCCCAGCGAATTTATATTGGATCTGTGGTTAGAAAGCATATTCAGAGTTACCACAAGATTGGGAAGGGGCATGTGTATTAGGTATGCTCAAACCATCCTTCTTCTTGTTGCCAATTGAGACAGGAGAGACCTTGGGAGTTAAGGTTTATGATGTAAATCATAAAAAGAAGCGAGCATCCTTGAATATAGGTAGCTGGGAAGATGATGAGTGGCCTCCCCAACGCATTAATTATTATGGATCTGCTACTTGGGCAGAAGATGGTACCTATGGATATAGAACCCCACTATATATGCTCAACCGTATTATAAGACTACAGGCGGTGGTTGAGATTATCACTAATGAGACAGCTCAAGCACTTAATCTTCTAGCTAAGCAAAATACTCGGATGAGATCAGCCATATATCAAAATAGATTAGCTCTGGACTACCTATCAGCAGTAGAGGGAGGTGTATGCGTAAAGCTTAATCTCAGCCACTGTTGTTTGCACATAGATGATGAAAGGCGGGCAGTGGCTGAACTTACAAGCCACATGGTTAAATGTACCTACTCAGGTCTGGAATGGGTATAATCCTAGTAGTTGGTTTGGAAGTTAGTATGAGCATCTTGGAGGGATTAAGGCGTTAGTAGGAGGAGTAGTATTTATTATATTCTTATGTCTCTTTCTGCCCTGCCTAATTCCATTAGTGGTCAGATCTATACATAGTATCATAGAAAGTACTATAGAAAGAAAGACAGCTGCTCATGTAATGGCTGTCTATAGATATGAATCCCTAGCCCAAAGAGAACATATTCCGGATGGGGAATGCTGAAGGAGTTTGTGATGATGCTAAGATGCTTACAGATGTTTACATCTGTTCTGGTCCATGGCTACTTGAGAGGTGTTGGTAAACTATGATTGGTGATGCATTTGGAATAATTTTGTATCAGAAGCATCAAAGGGGGGAATGTGATGGAATTTCGGTGAAACGTAAGTTTAGTAGGCCGAGATTTCCATGTGGCATATGTGTATGTTGTATCAGTTAGTTAGTTACATGTAGCTAAGATACTGTCATCAATGTACTGAGCATGTGCAGGAATGCAGGAACTGAAATAACACTCCTTTCTCCTTTGTTTTGGATGAGCCATGTGGTCTGCCCATATGAGGAAATCCAAATCCTGTCCACTGATTGGTTAAGGGCATGTGCGGGTGGAGCTATTAATGGGAGGAGTTATAGTTCTATAAAAAGCATGTACTCCATGTTTTCGTCCCTCAGACCTGTTTTGGAACGTTAGTTCATCTGAGGCCCGATCGGTATGTTAATAAAGATCTCTTCCTGAAAACCTGCATCCATCTCTCTGGCTTCTGCAAGTTTACTCGGTTACAGAATCATTACCTTCAGGCTTTTTGCTGTAAACATTTAGATTACAGCCTAATGATAGATTCACTGGCCACTCCTCAGATAGCTGTTAGAGATCCTTCCTGGGTCATGGCTGCCTAAAATGCATCCAAACATTCAGTATCTCCTCCCTCTGTATGCAGACACTGAACTTTCCTCATAGATATTCATTGATCAATTCATCTCTATGAGGAGATGCTGATTGGCCAGGGCAGTTTTTGAATCCTGCTGGCTCTGCCCCTGATCTGCCTCCTTGTCAGTCTCAGCCAATCCTATGGGGAAGCACTGTGATTGGATCAGGCTACTACTTCTGATGATGTCAGCAGACTGCTTGTTTTTTTTTTTTTTAGGCAAACAGCATGCAGAGCTACAGCTTCTGGCTTGAATACAGTAAGATGGTGCTATATTTTTCGGGACATTTGGGGGCCCAGGGGGGCTAGATGGTGGTTTTAACACTATAGGGTCATGAATAAATGTTTGTGTTCCTCACCCTATAGTGATCCTTTAAAATCCATAAGATTATATGCCTTTCTTAAAAACATATATTTAAGACAAATTACATGGTTAGAAATCAATAGGAAATAATATTATTTCCATTAAGGCAGTGGAGAAAGCAAAAGAGAAAATAGAAATGATATAGAAATGATATACTATTTGCTATTTATAAGAAGTTTAATTCATAAAGTGGCATAGCTCAAAGTCTTGATTCAGACCATGGGAGATCATTGTGTTGAAATTAAAAATGAATTGCATATCTTCCATTCCTATTTTTTATTACAATCCCCCCCTCTCCAGTCTTTTTTAACTAGCTTTATGGCACAGAAGAATAACCCTTCTGGGGGTAACATACTTATAGAAATGACAGATTGGAATGCCCATAGACTTTAACAAGGCAATGGAATGCCCATAGACAATAATGGAAGTAAAAGGAATGCCCATAGAGATTAATGGAAACAAAATATTTCAATTAGAGACAAAATTATTAGACATATGAAATAAATCTTTTGCTTAAATACTCTCCAGTATAATGGGAAGCAATATGTGACTCTGAATCTGAACTGTGAAACATATCAAGTAAATCTTTTGCAGGCATACTCTACGAGTTCATTGTCAATTTTTGACATTGAGATTAGGTGGGATTATCATTGTTTTCTATGGAATGACAAGGGTGAATGACTAAAGAGAATGCCCATAGAGTATAATGGGAGGTAAAATATAAACTTATTTGCCGGGAAATCTGTTACATAGAAAATTAAGCTTTACCACACGTGTTCCCCAAGTACAGCAGTAGATTATAAAATTAAACGTAACTGGGATTATTGCTCTTTTCTATGGAATGACATGGAAATGATACAATAGAATGCCCACAGAGTATAATGGGAAGCAATATGTGACTCTGAATCTGAACTGTGAAACATATCAAGTAAATCTTTTGCAGGCATACTCTACGAGTTCATTGTCAATTTTTGAAATTGAGATTAAGTGGGATTATCATTGTTTTCTATAGAATGACAATGGTGAATGACTAAAGAGAATGCCCATAGAGTTTAATGAGAAGTAGAATATAAACTCATTTGCAGGCAAATCTGTACTACATATCAAATTAACCTTTGCCACAGGTGTTCCCAAAGTACAGCAGCGGATTGTAACATTAAAAGTAACTGGGATTATAGCTCTTGTCTATGGAATGACAGGAGAATGATACAATGGAATGCCTATAGAGTATAGTGTAAATCAACTCTTTTGTAAGGAAATCTGAAAGCCATAGCAAGTTAAACATAGCATCCCTCCTTAGACTACAGTCCTTCACCTACTACTACAGCCCCTAACCATCAATTGCAGCCCCTACACCTTACTGCAGCCCCTAACCCCCTACTACAGTCCTCTAGTCCCCACTACAGCCCCAATACTCTACTTTAACCCCTAACCCCCTACGACAGCCCCTTACTGTAAAATTGCAGCCTACATACCCTACTACAGCCCCAAACTAAAGCACCTTTAATCCAACAGCAGCCCCTAACCCAACTACAGCACCGTACCACTCTCCTACAGCCCCTTATTCCCACTGCAGCCCCTATTCCCAAAAGTATCTTATATCCCCCACTACAGCCCTAAGCACCCTACTACAGTCCCATACCCCCACCTCCACGGCAGCACCTATCCCACACTATAGTACCTACCCCCAAATGTAGCCCAGATCCCCCACTACAGGCCCTATCACCCCTACTACAGCCTATATCCCTCCAACTACAACCCCTATTCTCTTACCACAGTCCCTACCCCCCACTACAGCGACTCTTATCCAATTGCAGCTCATATCCCCCACACTACAGCCATTTTCTCCAATTGCAGCCATTCCCCAACTCATCCCCTAACCCTGTACCACAGCCCATATCTCCCCACTAGATATTCTACCCCACCTAATTACAACCCATACCCTCCACAACAGCCCATAATAGCCCCTAACCATCCTACTACAGTCCCTGTCCCCCACTAGAGCCCCTATCACCCTACTACAGCCCACTAACAGTGCCTCTTCCAAGATTAGATTCTGGGTCTGCCCCTGGCACTAGTAAGCTATTTGGGCATGCCGGTGTCACTAATAAGCCATTTGAGCACATAGATGGCACTGATTAGCTATTTTGGGACACAGATGGCACTGAGCAGCAACTCGTTTTCCTGGCACTTTAGTATTAATAGGTCCCCCCACCCTCATGGCCCCCCTCCCGCCGGGCTGAAGGGGGAGGAAGGGATTAAACACTCATCTTTCTCCAGTGCCGGGCTCACGCGGCGCTGGGGACTCTCCTCCTCCTTTGGACGTCATTGGCTGAATGTGCATGCGGCTGAATGCTTTCCTATGGACGCTGACGTCTTCTCACTGTGAAAATCTAGAGGCTGGATTAACCCTATTGTAAACATAGCAGTTTCTCTGAAACTGCTATGTTTACAGCTGCAGGGTTAACTCTAGATGGACCTGGCACCCAGACCACTTCATTGAGCTGAAGTGGTCTGGGTGCCTATAGTGGTCCTTTAAAGGATCTTAACATGTATAGCTTGGAGGAAAGACGAGACAGGGGGGATATGAT